AATCGCTCCGATAAACTGGACTCTCAATGAAGGAAGGAGCATTGAGGTTTTTTAGGTTCACCCTCAGGCGCAACGCATCGAGGGTGACCAGCGTTAAATTGATATGGTTGAACAGAGTCTCTCTGGAGCTTGCTACCAACAACCAATTGTGTATGTATGGAAAGATCTGTACACTCTGAAAATGGAGGTATGCCGCGATGACAATCATTATTTTTGTATAGGCTCTGGGCGCTGTTGAGAGTCCAAAAGGGAGGGCTTTGTACTGCAAATGGCCTTCTGCAACCGCAAAACGTGAGATGGGTGGATAGTTATATGAAAATATGCATCTTGCAAGTCCAGGGTTACCATCTCATCGCTGAGAAGGGGGAGAATGGTTTGTAATGTTGTCATTCAGAATTTCTGATAGGAGATAAACTGGTTGAGTCCCCTGAGATCCATAACAGGACAGAGGTGTCCATCTTTTTGGGTGACCATAAAATAATGGGAGTAAAACTCGTGTTGATGTTGTGCTTTCGGGACTGGTTCTATAGCGTCTTTTTGAAGAAGCTTCTGGATTTCTTCCATGAGCGTACTGGATGGTGGGGTAATTATGAAGTTGGGGGCCTTGGGTATCTGGATAAATTCTATGAGGTACCCTTTTCGATGATGGAGTGTACGTTATTCACTGCCAGGAAGCCAGGTAGGGAGACAGGCAGGTGGGGGTGGGACGATATGAGTCAAAGGCTTTCGGGGTCTTAGCCCTAGGCTGAGCAGTGGATGAGAATTTTGGTTTGTGCCCATAAGGACGGGAAGACACAGTGGGTGAGCGTTGCCACTGTGTTTCCGGGGATGACTTAAGAGAAGGTCTGCGAGACCAGGATTTCGCTTTGGATAGTTTAGGAACCAACGTGGCCCTAAATTCTGTGACATCACATCTTATCAGGGCTTTTTTTGTAGAAAAAGCCCAGCAGGAACTCATTAGCATAATAGGCCACACACAACAGCAGAAACTCATTAGAATATTAGGCCACACCCCTGACAGCACAGCTCATTGGCATATTAGGCCATACCCCCATGTTACCAGAAGTGTGGTCATCCAGCCACACCCACCTTTTGCTTCTTATTCTGTTTACCTTGTTTGTTGTCCAAACCCAGGGCCTTTTTTTGTAGCAGGAACTCCTTTGCATGTTAGGCCACACACCCCTAATGTAGCCAATCCTAATGAGTTTCTGCTGTTGGGTGTGGCCTATTATGCTAAT